CAACAGGCATAATAATAATAATTAAAAATAACAGTAAGCACAGAACTAAGAAATGAGATTCAAAAATAAGAAGGAAAGTGACATAGGCTTTCATCTGAAAATATCTATTCTGGCCAACGGAGAAGCACCCTTACAAATCAGTTAATTACATCTCTTTATGTAGAGAAAAGCAAAACCATAGGGAAATTCTACCTTCAAGTGTAAAGTTTGCTTTGTGTATTACCTTCTGGTGAAATTCCCAAACCTTTGAAAACCCAAGATGAAAACAATGGCTGCCTCTAGAAAGACTTCCAAGGATACTTTTAAAACAGAGTAGGTTTGTTTTTCTGGTACAACGACTTCAGAGAAGTTCTCACTTAAATCCATGCATGGTCATTTTATATCTCCCATTTATGCACGCTTGTTTGCTGAACTTAAGTCTAGTGAACGAGTTATTTTAAAAAAATACTTTTTGAAGTTACCCCCACCCTAAACAGCAGGACTGCTGTGTGTATACTAATGCTCTGGAAAGGCACAAGTCAGGTATTGGGTGTAGGCACAGGACAAACCGCATGGTCTGCCTTGGCAGCCCTGTCCTCACCTGCAGGCTGCCCACACACACACTGTCTTCCAAACGGTGCTCCTCTGATGCCAGATGGCTGACTGAGCTACTGTGGGAGGGAGCCTATGGGAGGGGAGGGAGGAGGGGATGTGGATAAAAATTTTATAAACTAAACTTCAAGCTGAAAACTTGATTTACCCTTTTCAGCCCAATTCACATTGGAAGTCCCATCTTTTCTTAAAAATCTTGGACACTGAAGAGTTAAAAGGGTATGGAAGCTGGTGTAGCCTGGGGCTGTCATCCAAGGCCAGCAGCAGGAAGGGTTTGGCTCTGGCTAGGCTACAGACAGGCCATCTGGATGCAGGGAAGGCCTAGAATGCCAGAAGCAGCTTTTCTTTTTTGGTGTTCGGCTTCATTAAGTTCAGCCTGGGGAGAGTCTCTTTGGTTTAAGACCCAAACTGAGAGTCTTCTTTGAACAGGGATTTGATATTTTGAATTTTATATAAAACAAACACCCACTACATATACTCTTTCAGCAAAGAAGGTCATGAAAAGCAACGTCCTCGATTAAACATATTTTAAAAAGGATGTAAACCAGATTCACTAGACTTATAAATACATAGAAGCTATGTGTAGTCTTTAAATAACTTTGCTAGGAATAGATAAATCTGGGTACGTTATCTGAGGAAAAAAAAATTCTATTTTTTATATAGTACCGCTCTGTGACTCTTATGAAGAATTCTTTCATTGTTTTTCCTATAGTTCACTTGGAAAAGCAGTTTCACCACACTGAAATTGCTTTTAGGTCTTTAAAATTATTTTCTTTCTTCATTTTTATTTTCTATTTAATTATATAACATTTGGCATAACGTTAACGTGGGCCAATTGTAATTCCTTTCACAGGAAATTTTTCTTTATTAAAATTGAGAAAAACAAAACTCTGCAGGGAAATTATAGCAACTTCCTACTCTATATCACTCATGAACATACACTCTGTTTGGAAACCACCCTCTTTAAGAGATATGATCTATTCTTCCCTAGCTATAGCAGTCTGTGGTGGATTTGTATGTGTTACTCTTAACAATGAAAGGAAAAGGTGAATGTAAATTCACTTGGACAAAACAAAGCAGGAAAGAGAATATTATCCTTAAGAGAATTCTTACCTTAAGGAAAAGAAAATGCACGTATCTTTCTGGGTGGGGAAGGTGAAGGGGGGAAGGGATGGGTGGGGATTTTTTCTCTCCAAGGCATTAATTGCCACCTAGCAGCAGAGGAGGGAATTGCACACATAACTTTGGACTTCAACTCTAGAAAATATCGGTGTTAAAGGGCACATTACTTTTATTATGATCTAAGGAATTACTAGCCTACTGGTAGACTAGGGATTGACTTTTTTTCTCTCTTGTAGCGAGGAAAGAAAAAGAACTATAACAAGTGAAAAATTTTGCCTTATTTATAAGAATGCTCTTTCCACCCTAAAATGTCTCTATTCTTTTGTTTCTCAATGGTTACCCTTGCCACCTCAGCAACAGGCCAAAGGAAAAGAAATTCTGAAGCCACTCTGACACCAAAAAAAGGCTGGCTTTGGCCCATTTGCCTGTTTTTAATATAGAAAGTAGTTTTCCGAACAATCTCAGAGTTATTTCTATGAAAATTAGATCAGAATATATTTTATTTTGTTAGGGCAATAAGACGCCATCTATTTTGAAAATTAAAAGACTTTTTTAGATAAAGGATGAAATAATTTCCAGATCAAATGATTATTCAAATGTGTTAAAGAAGGGCGTCCTTATTTCAAACTTCACCAACCATGTTTTTATTTTTGTAGCAGTCAGCCATACTGAATGCCAAAACTTTAAAGGAGAGTCTCTATAATTGTGTTTCATAGATCTTGGCAGCTAAATAAAAGTACCTAAAAATTTTCAAAAGAGATTAATGCAAACTTAAACAGTTAAGAGGACTTCAAAAGCTAACAAGTTGAAAAACCTCTTGGCTTTACTCTTGGCTAAAAGTGTATCTTATTTAAGGTATTAGATATGGGGGGAGGGAGTGGTTCACTGTATACTTCCAATTTGTCACTTTTTATCCAAATAAATAGCAGGCATTGCCACTATATTGATTATATGAGCATATTATCACTAAGGAAGTCAGCAACATTTTGGAAGACAAATGCTGGTTTTAAAAGTAATAATAATAGTAGGTAATATTTACTGACTATTTACCATGTGCCAGGCAGTGTGCTAAGCACTTTAAATGAGAAATTCACTTATCACAATAATCATAAAAGATACTGGTCAATATGATCTCAATTCTACAGGTTTAAGCAACAAGAACAACAACAAAACAAAGGTTCCGAAAGGTGAAATAAGTCATCGAAAGTCTCAGAGCTTGTAAGTAGCTAGGCTTAAATACAAACCCAGTTCTGTCTCAAAAGTGGAATGCCCCAGCTTTCAGTTCTTGGAATTCTCTCCTATCTACTCTCACTCCAATCTCATGGCTCTGAATAAATCTTCTATGATGACGACCCCCAAATTTGGATCTCCATCCTGGACCTCTCCAATAAACTCCAACTCATATGCCAACTTACTACTCCGTATCTCCATTAGAATGTCTAAGAGACATCCCAAACTTGAAACATACAAAACCATATCCATCATCTTTCCTGCCAAATCTACTCCTCCCATTTCTCCTTTGTCACATTTCATTGCAACTTTTTTCTTCCATTTGCTCAGGCCAAAAACGTTAGCCATTTTGAAATTTCTCTTTGTCTTACATGTCACATCCAATCCATTAACAAAGCACTGTTGGCTCTGTCTTCAAAATATACCCAGAATCCAACTACTTCCTACAATCTCACCATTACAACTCTGGTCCAAGCCATTGTCATCTCTCACTTAGATTACTGTAGGCTTGATCTTGTTAACCTCCTTGGCCCCCTATAGTTTGTTCTCAACACAGTGTCAGGATAATCTTTTATAAAGTCAGTCCTGAAATGTCTCTGTTCAAAACCCTCTAGTAGCTTTCTATCTCACTCAGAGTCAAAGTCCTTATTGTGGCCTAAAGGCCCTATATTATCTGCAGCCCCCAAACCACTTCCTCTCTGATTTCATCCCATACCACTCTTCCTCAGGAATTTTTGTCTGTTTTGTTTACTGAGGTATTCTCAGCATCTTAGTAATAATGCTTGGCATATAGTAAGGTAATCAACAAATATTTGTTGAATTAAAGAGAAATATCTGACTCGAAAACCTTTCCTTTTCATCATTCCCTTCTATGAATATATTGGTGGCTTTGTGACTTGAAGGTGATTGGCTGGATTATTCACAGTGGCTCTTGTATCAGAGCCCTACTTGTAGACGGATAGAAGAAATATTTTGATCTCTTGGGGTTTTAATGGCTTTAGGCTCCTTTAAGCATGATTTAAAGATTTGGCTCAGGGTACATCCTGATTCTTAACCAGCAGTTGCAAAATTGATCAGAAAGGGTATTTTGCAGAAAGAATAGGCCAGAAAAGTGGCACTACTCTGTTTAAAGACCATTGTTAGTCACTTCAGGATTTTTTAGAATTAAATAAAAATAAATTCGAATAAGAGCCAAGTTGAAACTTTCCTATGCACATGTAACATTTATTGTTACTCAACTATCTAGATGACATTCTGTAATAATTTCTTAATTTCTGGAAAAAAAAAAGCATTTCTCAACAACTCAAGTATGCCAATGGCTTTTGTACAGGCCTGTCTTTTGGTCACACACACTGAGGAGGAAAATTATCTTATATACTTTAGATAGAATTCTAAAGTATTAATCTTCCAAATTATGTCTATTAATTTCAATATGCTCTATCCCAAGCTTTAGCTCTTACCCAAAGAGAATCTTAGCTTCTGAGTATCTATTTTAAAAAAAAAAAAAAAAGGTTGTAGTGGATACAGATAAGGCTACCTTTAGAGTGAGCTATCTAAAGGCTATCAAATGTTGGTTAAATAAATTATGATACATTCTTATGATGGAATACCTTACGGTTATACAGACATTTAAAAGCATGTGACGTGAAGAAATGTTTGTGGTGTAATGTTTAAATTAAAAAGCAGGTTAAAAATAAGCATATATAATTGGATACAAATTTTTGTGGCAGTTTATTTTGTTGAGATATTAATTCTATGTTTTCTCCTATCTCCCTGCTTCTTGACCCCATTCAAGCAGGTATCCAGACCTCAGATTCCTCTAAGGCAAAAAGCAAAAGCTGCATGGAGACAAATATAGGCTCTCCCTATATTGTGAAATGAGAAGGGGAAAAAAAGAAAGGAATGCCTTTGAGGATGACGTGGAAGAGAGATTCCTCAGGATTTAGGAGATGGAAGCCCATAAGTTGAGTGAACATCTAAGACTCCTGTCTTGCTCTGTGACAAAACCTCAGAAAGGAAGGCTGCACCTGGGTGCAGGGGGTGCCAAATTCACTCACTTGATTCCGGATTCTTGAGTTCTCAGGGTGGTAAGAAATATTGGAGTCCTCAGACCTGAAGGGAAGATGGCACAAAAGGGAATCTCAGCAGTAAATCAATGTGGACAGACGACCAAATAATTTGAGGTAATTCCAGGTATTTCCGCAATGATTAAGGCCCTAGAAACTTTGTACAATCCTGGATGGAGAGGAAATGCTCAATAATAACTGAGATTGACTTTCTCACCAACATGGCAGGATGGGAACTCAGGGTTAGATTCATGTTGATCTAAAGAAATACAATATTTCTTTCTATGGAATGAGTCACACCCCACAATATGCATATGCACACAAAGACAATGTACTATATATTATAAATATTAGAAAATGTATTATCAGGATAATTTTCCTCCCTTCTTTGATAGATATTATTGTAGGGGGAAAATGACTAAATTTCTAATAGTAATTTTCTCTACCTAGTGGATTATATGGGATTATTTTTCATACTGTCTGCATTTGAAAATAATTAAAATAAATGTATATTCCTCTTATAATTGGAAAAATATAAAACCAACTGTAAGCTGACTTCTTTCCTATATATTTGAACAGGCAGAAACAGGAAAGGGCATATATCATTTTAGGTTCTATTTTCCAGCTATTTCAGAGCCACCAATATTAACGTGCTTAGAAGTATAATATAAACTAAACTTCAAGAAAACATAACAGATTTTTCTCACATTAAAAAAACTAGTGTATACCTCCTGCACCCTGTAAAAACTGAAAATATTTTTGTATCTGTCAGGGTCCCAGCAAGAAACAGATGGCACACTCAAAAGGGGCAACTGAAGAGAATATAATCAGAATGTGAGGAGGGAAACAGCAAGAGATGATGCAGTGTATTTATTACCCCAACCTGGCCAACGTGGAGGGAGAGAGGGTAATAAATACACTAATCTCTGTCTCCTACTGCCTTTTGATCTCCTGCTAGTGCTCTCCATCAGCTGAGCTCAACCAGAAGCCAGAGGGGAAGGGAACTTGCTGATGTAACCTCTAAAGGGTGACGCAGATCTATAGGGGCAGCAGAGAATATCTGGCACAGTGACATTAAAGTACAAGTAAATCTGTCATTTTGCTATAAATATTTCCAAATTTAAAGATTTCTACTAGAAGAGTACTATAAACAGAGTTTTGTACTTTAATCTTTGAATTGGAATATCTGCAATATATTTGGAATTATTACTACTGCTAAAGTACTCTTACTCATCCACGAATTCTAAACTTTATTGAGTACCTAGCTTGTATGATACATTAGATATATATATTATACAAACAAATATAGCACAGTCCCTGTCCTCCAGGGGCTTGATTTACTAGATGGAGACAAACTGTAAATAAATAAGTACTATTGTTATATGTGTGTAGCAGGATGTTAAAGTGGGACTTTCTGTCTCAGTTTTGGCTGAGGCTCTAAGGAAAGTAAAGTGCCAACTATTCCCACATTCCACAGTAAAGTGGAAGACCACCAAAATTAGAAATTAAAAAACAGAGGGGGGCTGCTTTTGCCACTTTTAACTGTCTACCCATTTCCTCACTTCATGCCTAGGGAGAGAGGCTTTAATGGAAATTAGATATAGGACCCCTAAGCTGGGCGTCACGGTGGTGGATTAGTGTCTGGCTTATATCTGAGGAACTCATTCACTCAATACTTATAGAGCACTTATTAAGTATAGACACTATTCTAGGCACAGGTGACTACAGAGGTGAACTAAATAGACGAAAATCCTCTGCCTTCATAGAGCTAACATTCTAGTGGAATCTAGGCAGCAAGAAATTTTGGTTGGCTAACTGTGAAGATGAGTTTTCAATTTTGTCAAAGTCTATACTCCCATAGATGTGAGGCAAAGCCATTCCGTGGGTGTTTCTTTCGGTCAGATATGGGCTACCGGCGAGGATCAAGTGGAAGTGTGAGGAGACCTCCACAGTAAGAAGCTGGAGGTGTATACAACAGATGCTAGTAACTGACACTGAACTTTAGACGAGATGGCATATATTTACCCAAGTGCAAGTGAGGGACTGTTTACATTTGCTCACTGGGGATGGAAGTGTTTCCAAAGAATGCATAAAGTAATGAGTCAAGTGTAAACACCTGCTGATCTCAGAGAGCATCAACAGAACTGTACTGGCCACGTTAAGAACTCTCTTGCCCTTTCCTCTATTTCATCTGGGGAGAAGTAAGGCCACCGAGTTGGTGGTGGTGGGAGGGGGCATGAAGAGAGATTTTAGGCTGGGACATAGAGAAGAAGTCAACCATTCCCCTTTCACCATGGCAGGCTCAAGCTGGTTAGAGGAGGGAAAGGGCTTTGCTATTATCTGCCAGTTATTATTATGCTGGACTTATTAACTACTGATCTGAGGCTATTGAATTGCCTAGTTAACTTTTTTTTTACTTGAATGTCAGAAGAGTCATGATATTTGTGCCATATTTCATTCACAGAGCAGGGAAGAAATAACTCCACAGGATGTGTTTTAACATGTGGTGGGAAAGTTTTGTGCAATTGCACCCTACATATCTCATTTGGCAGGGAGCTCCTACAAATCAATGAGAAAATGATTAACAAAATAATAAATTGAGAAAAGGAATGAAATGGCAATTCACAAAAGTAACATAAGCAGCCAAGAAATATATGAAAAGATTTTTTTACTAGTAATCAAAAAATATAACTAAAATTACAGCAAGAGTTTTTTTGGGTTTTTTTTCTGCCTATCAACTTGAGGAAGGTAAAAAGTTTGTACACTATCCAGTATTGGTGAAGGTATAAAGAAAGTGGACTCTCAGGCACTCTAGAAAATATACTGATATAGCTTTTCTTTTTTTTTTTTTTTTTTGCTATTTAGCCATATTTATCATGATTGAAAATGTGGGTTCCCTTTGGACCTGCAATTCTATTTCCATGAATTCATCATAAGGAGGTAATCAGGAAAGTACACAAAATGTGTGCATGTACAAGAATATTCATTATAGTTTTGTTCTTTTTGTTGTTTTTTTTTGCGGTACGCAGGCCTCTCACTGTTGTGGTCTCTCCCGTTGCGGAGCACAGGCTCCGGACGCGCAGGCTCGGCGGCCATGGCTCCAGCCGCTCCGCGGCATGTGGGATCTTCCCGGACCGGGGCACTAACCCGTGTCCCCTGCATCGGCAGGCGGACTCTCAACCAGTGTGCCACCAGGGAAGCCCTACAGTATTTTTATAATAGCAAAAACTTAGAAATAATCTAATTGCCCACCCATAGTTAAGTAAATTATTGTATTTCCACACAACTGAATACTACACAACTATTTTAAATAATATAGATTATTACTTATGGACATGTAAAGATGGCCACAACTTTTTATGTCTAGTATAAAACAGTTTAATATGATTTTACTTTTAAAAAAGATATATTTATTATATATATGTGTGAGGCACATGAATATATAGAGATACGTAGAAAAGAACTATCAAAATGTTTATCTGCTATATAATCATTTTAAATGATCATTTATTTAATCATTCACTTAACACTATTTATTAAGCTCTTAATATGTGCTAGGCATTATGCTAGGTGCTGTGAAAACAAAAGAAAACAATCTGTTAATTCAATCTGCTAAACTAATAGTGATTTTGAAAAATGACAACAAGCAGTACTGGTGAGTTTAAGAAGGGGAGCACTCTCATATACTACTGTTGAGAATATATGTTGGTAAAACATTTCTGGAGAGCAATTTGGCACTTTTTATGAAAGACTTAGAAATACCCATTTCATTTGACCCTACAATTCCATTTTCAGGAATTTATTCTAAAGAAGTATAAATGTACACACAAAAAATATGTCAAGCAGCTCATAAATGAGTTGCTTGGGAGAGGGGTAACCTAAATATTAAACAATGGGGATTTGGATAAATAAAGTATCATATGTTCACAATGCAGAATACTAGGGAGTCACGTTTAACCTAGAAAATGTTTAACAGGAAAAAATGTCCAAAATATACAAGTGACAAGGTTTAAAAAGAAGAGTGTGGTACTAAACTGCTCGGAACTTGAGCAAATCACTTAAATGATCTCTTATTTCATCTGCAAAGCTTAGATACTTAAGGACCCTCTCAACTCTTACCTTTCCTGAGTCTAGGTACTTTATAAAGAAGTCTAGGTTTCTTTATAAAGAAAATAAGTCATCATTGGCAGTCGGTAAATGTTAGGTTGGCAGCTTATTGCAGAGCTGTCCTAAACTATTTCATTTGGGGATTTACTAAAAGATTGCTCACAAAGGATAAAATACGTGTCTTGTAAGAAAATGTCCACCTTTTTCCTTAGTAGCCTGATCTTTCAGGCATCGTGCTTGATTCTGAGGGCACAGAAAGACATTAGTGCCCTCGAAGAGTTCAAAGTCTCTTGGGCGGAGGGAACCAGTAATGACGTTAAAGAGTGATAAATGACAACAAAGCCTTTAAAGATGAGTTCTCCAAGGAGAAGGGAAAAGGATTCCAAAGTAGAAAGAAAAACATGTCTACAAACAAGATACTCGAGGAAGAGTATGGTTCACACAGAGAAACGAACCATTATTTGTGGCCTTTCTTGCAGTCTCGTTCTTCTCACACGACACAACACCCCACATCTCTGTGGAAGCTGAAGGAGAGGTTGAGCCGCACACTCGCTCACCCGGAGTCTCAGGTGCATCTGGCCTGGTCGGTGAGAAACTGGCGGGAATCTGCAACACACAGGTAACTTCACTGAGGACCCAAGAAGGGCGACTTGGTAGTGGCCGCCTAGCAGCTCTTAGCTCCCGCGGGGACACCTGTCCCGGGGTTTCCCGCCTATCTCAGTTCCTCCTGCTTCCCAGGCCCCGCCCACTCCCGAGCTGGCTGAGAGCTTTGAGGGCGGGGGAGCGAGGGAAGCCTATCGACATCTCTGGAATAGACTGCTCTACCCTGCGCCACCGCCTTCAAAGTCCCGCAGCCTTCTCTGTAGATCGCCTAGCGGAAGTTTAGGCAGCGCTGCTCGGTCCGCGGGTTTTCAGGAGGCCGAAGCCAGCCTCGCGCCGGAACCATGGTGAGTTGGATTCCGAGCTCAGGCTGGGTTTGGGCAGAGGTCCGCTGGCTGTGGTTGGCGAGCCGCCTCGCCTGTCATCCTTAGAGCGGCCCGAGGCCACGGGCCATGGGAACCTTAGCCGAGTGGAGGGTTCAGGCAGTGATTCAGCATCTCCGGCCCGGCCGGGAGAGGGGAGGTCGGTAGTTGGTGTGGCCTTTCCCCGGGGTTTGTTTCGCTTTCCACCGGGCCTTGAACAGTACCTCCTCGGACTACTAGCCGAGTTCGCCCCTCAGTTTCCTTCAGTCGAGTAGATTCCGAGCGGTCCAGAGAGGCCCCTAGTGCTCTGTGTGGGAGAAAGGGAAAATGGGGACTTGAGATCTGCCTGTACTGCCAAGTGCGGACTTGACCCCAGGGTTTGGGTTCCTGGACCGCGTTCATTTTCCAGGTGGGTCCCTCTGTAATCTCTCCCTCAGAGCTCGATCAGAAAAGGCCCTTTTCAATCACTTTGTCCAGTCACCTAGTTTTACAAATGAGTGAACCGAAGCTGATAGAAGTGATGGAATCAGGGTTACAATATAGGGCAGGGCTTGCAGACCTATGTCTGCCATTCCAGCCTTCAGCTTGCTCACCACCACGATTAGTCTCCCAAGTACTGTGCTGGTGGACTTGTTTTAATACCGTCCTTAAAGCAGTAATGGGTCTGTCGCTGTGGCTATTTGTGTCCGCTTCTAACTTCCTGGGGACATTGTGTTCATTCATTCAGTATGAATGTTTCAAAGGCACTGTTTTAAGCACAGTGAAGGTTCAAAGATAAATCAGACATGCCCCTAATCGTAATATAAAGTAGAAAGGGACGTGTAGATAAAGAACTGGTGGGAGTATGTTTTGGGATTTGGGGAGGAAAGATGGAGAAGACTTTAGGAGGTAGACATTTGAGCTAGTTTAGGGAAAAGTAATGCTTTTGACCATTTATTAAGGTCTGGTGTAAGGGAAGAGCATAAGCAAAGATAGGAAGGAAAGTGGACACATAGGAACTTTAGTAATTGACTGAACCTAAAGCGGGTGCTATGGACAGTGTTAGAATTGGAAGATAGGTTGGGAGGATAAGTCCCATCTAGATGTGCTCTCCCCTACCCAACTAGCTCCTTGTAAATGTAAAGCTGGTTTGCAGCTGACTACAGTAGTAATCTTCCAATGAGGTTGCAATAACAGTCTTTTGTTAATGTTAGATGAAAACAGATGGAAGAACATTTTTTAATGATAGATCTTGTTAAGATTTGGGATGTGTAATGTTCTCGTGTTAATAAGTCTTTTTTCATTTACTTTCAGTTTCGCAACCAGTATGACAATGATGTCACTGTTTGGAGCCCTCAGGTAAAATGTTTTATGCTATTTCTATGAAGTGGTTTTTGGTGGCTGCAATGTGTTTAGAAACTTATGGGATTGTGGGCAGTGAGAAAATGGAATATAATCACTTTAGACTTTTCTGAAACCTAAATGTATCATAAAAGTAAGTTTCCTAGTTTTTTTGTTTGTTTGTTTGTTTGTTATTTTGGCTGAGCTGGGTCCTAGTTGCGGCATGCAGGATCTTTTTAGTCGTGGCATGCAGACTCTTAGTTGCAGCACGCATGAAGGATCTAGTTCCCTGACCAGGGATCGAACCCGGGCCCCCTGCATTGGAGTTTTACCCACTGGACCATCAGGGAAGTCCCAAGTTTCCTAGTTTAACTATGTTCACCTGATTTTGGGGATCTCTAATTTTAAATATATAAGAGGGTCTTGTAAGATGACTCTAAGGTATGTTGGGTTTTTTTTTTGTTTTAGGGCAGGATTCATCAAATTGAATATGCAATGGAAGCTGTCAAACAAGGTTCAGCCACAGTTGGTCTTAAATCAAAAACCCATGCAGTGTTGGTTGCGTTGAAGGTAAGTAAAGCAGTAAATATATCTTCTTCCTTTAGAAAACAACTGTCAAATGTAACTTTCACTGTATAGATAATAAAATTGTAAACTTGTTTTTCTGTCTTAAATAACGTCTCTATTTAGAGAGCACAGTCAGAACTTGCAGCTCATCAGAAAAAAATTCTTCATGTTGATAACCATATTGGTATCTCAATTGCGGGACTTACTGCTGATGCTAGATTGTTATGGTGAGTATGATCGTGGAAAACAAAAGAAACATCCCTTTGATTCATAATTGATTACATTTCTAGAAAAGATGCAGATATTTTAAGAAGTCTGCCAGAGTGCTTATAAGTTAAGATCATGAATACCTTAATGGATTTGGAGTCAGTTACTAAGTATTCCATTTCTTGATCACTGCAGTATTAATTAATAGAATTAATCATATTAATATTAATGCTTTTGAGAAGTCATTGAATAATGTCTTACTTGATAACTCAGTATATATTGTTTGATATCAGGTCTGAGAAGAGCTTGACACTTTTTTCAGGTTTCTAAGGATCAGCTGAACTACCCTTGCTTTCTTTAACACATCAGTATTCATTTGACATTTATTTTTTGCAAAGCTCAATACTGGGTACTGCAGGGTATACAAAAGTGAATCAGACATAGATCTCATCTTCTAGGAACTTAAAATCTAGTAGAATATCTGTAATACAAAGTAGAAAGTGGAGAGTAACTGGTATATTTCTGTGAGAGACCAGAGGAGATAAAGATTATTTCTAGTATTCATTCATTCAGTATTCAGAGGTGGGGCTTTGGAATCACACAGTCTTTAGTCCTCACTTTTAGCACTTAGTCTGATATTGATCTAGTCACTTAAACTCTCAAATTTTTTTAGTGTTTTTTCTAAGGTTACTGATAAATAGCCTAACATGTAGAACACTTAACACAGTGACTTTTGTTGTGTGTGTTGGGAGGTGGGAGGTAGTTAGCCAAAAGTAATCTCTTAAGTCTGTGATTTAATTAGGAAAGAAGGAATATAAACACTAAGGGAAATAATGTTTAAAATTTTTAAGTTATCTGGCAAGCCCCCCTGCTCTCTTAGGTCAGCAGTATAGTGACGGCATTATTAGTGACGGTTTCTTTTAGCTGTTGAAAATGTAATATATGTTGTGCCGTCAAACATTTTATTTAACCCAATCTGTCCAAAATATTGTCGTGTCACAGGTAATCAGTATAAAAACTTTATTAATGAGATGTTTTACGTTGTTTTTTTGTAGTAAGTCTTTGAAATTTTTCATGTATATTTTGTACTTATGGTACATCTCAATTCAGACTAGCCACTTTTTCAGTGCTCACTAGTCACATGTGTTTAGTACCTGCCATATTGGGTTTTAGACAGCCCTGGGAAATGGACTTAAATGAAAGTAGAGAACAAGTAGCTTGGTTCCTGCAGCCAACATTTGCTCATCAGATGTGACATACACATAAACTAGACAAAGCAGCATGAAAGAAAAGTACATATCCATTTCTTGTTTATTCTCTTGGCTTTAATAGTTAGGCATGAATTTCCTTTTCCCCTGTGTTATACTTGCTTGAATCTTGTCAGGTTTAAGAGTGAGACTCAACAGTCTAGTGTCTGGTATCTCCTCTAGAGTGCTGCTTATGGATAGAAGTAACGTTGGCAAGACATGTTAACAGTGCCGTACTATGGATTCTATTTCTTGTATTCTATTGGGAAAATTTTCATCAGCTTTCAAGAAAAAAAGCACAGTCTTGTTGACAGTGGGAAGGGTAAGAGAAGAGACATTGCTCTTTTTCTCTTGCTCAGCCTTTTCTTCTCTATTCTATAAAGTGCTCTGAGACAAAGGTTATCTAGAACTAAGGAACATTTTAGTCATAAACATAGTAAGATTGTGAAAACTTTAAGGTTAGTCATTTAAAATTTAGAAGGAAGAGTTGGTATAAAAATGCATCCTTGTGGCCATGTCTTTGTGGTTCCCTTGTATGGATGTAATTCATGTAAATGTCTGGAAGAAAGCAAAAAGAAATGAAATTATTTAGAATAACTCTCTGTGATTTGAAATTACTAATTTTTCTTGTTTCTTTTTTAGTAATTTTATGCGCCAGGAGTGTTTGGATTCCAGATTTGTATTTGACAGACCTCTTCCTGTGTCTCGTCTTGTATCTCTAATTGGAAGCAGTATCCTTTTTATTTATGCATTTATTTTAGCATTTATGGATGTGGACTTTAAAGGGTTTTGATACTTTATCCTTATGTTACTTATTAGGAATATGATAATACATAACATGGGTAAGATTGTGAAAACTTTAAGGTTAGTCACTTTTCAATAGCGGAATGTTTAAAATTTTTAGAAGGAGAGTTGTAGGAAGTTTTACCATGGAAGAATGGGTCTAAATAAGAAATTGGGCTGCTCTTTTATCAGCCCTTATAGATAAGCAATTAATATTTTCCAGATGCAGATAAGCCAAATTTCAGAAAAACTAAGCATCATTTTTAGAGGAGATTTAAAATTTTTTATTGGTGGTTCTAGATGTTCCCAAAAAATCCTTGCCCCTTATATCCAAAATGAATGAGATTCTTTACATCAGAGAAAGTCATTTTGGTAGCACTCACTTTGGATTTGGTGGATAGCCAAACATTTTTTTATAATAAGCCAAATAAATATTTCTCTTTTATTTTCTTCTTCTTGTGGTGGATTATGCAGCAGTTAAGAAACCAGAGTTCTTTGTTAATAATGTTTAATTTGAAAATAAAGATAGTACTTTATACCTTGTTAGAACAGGCTCTTTAACTAGTTTAAGAAACTCAGATACCAACACAAAGATATGGCCGGAGACCATATGGTGTCGGGCTGCTTATTG